CAACTGGAACTCGCTTTTGTCAAAAGCAAACATCGCCCCCCCCCCACTCCTGTGCTGCAGGAATCCTCCCATCTTGACAGGGGTCGTCACCGGGGGAGGGGGGGGGGTCCCCACATCTCTCATTATTGTTTCAGGGATCGGGGGGTCAACTTGAGGCATCGTTGTGCAACGGCACCACGTGTCCCCAGGGGTGCTTATGGAACGCTCCGAGTCAGTACTTTCTCTCGATTTTCGAAAAACAAAACATATATGTAAAAATAATTCACTGGCTTCTCGAAAACTATACTTATACTTTACCAGGTAAGGCCCCACTGAGCTATGTAACTATTTTTAAAATGCGACCTGGCTATCACAAGTGATAGCTCAACGAAGTGGCCTGTCATCATCGTGTGGAAATTCATAGCAGCAGTTAAAAACTCTGAATGCACCTTGGTTGTGAATGTTGAGGGAAAACCCGGAGGGGAGAGAGAGAGAGACATGCAAACTCCAAATATAATCCATACTAGAGGTGTTTTTGGGTTAGATCGCTTCGATATAAATGCGTCGTTAAACCCGCCACCACCCGACACGGCCAATTAGTAAGGGTTGTCACGTCAACAAAACATGCAAATTCGTTACTAGTACAGCACACCGGTGTGTTGAAGAATAAACCCACAACATTTACAATTCGAGTACGACGATTCGCCAGTAATTACAGCCAGATTTGGTGGAGAAATCCTCGTCCTGTTTCGTTTTTAAATAACGACGCATTTATATTTACGCGATATAACCCCCCAAAAAAACTCTTATGGATGATATCCGTCACTCAAAGCCCTGCTGCGTGTTCAATGCAAATGTCATACAGCAGGCAGTGCCAAGGTCGGAATCGACATGGGTATGGGATCCACCCCTTCCCCCATGATGCAGTGGATGGACCACGGCTGATGATCATCATTATCATCATGTGTGTCACTGGTGCACGCATGCCGGCCGCGCCGCTACATACACCACAGATGTAAAATAAAAAAAATACATTCTTGAATGGAATCGTTACAGACCTCGTCACCACCACTGTGCAAACCAACGCTTAGCGCATTCGGCAGGATGAACACCGAGGAGATGGAGTGATAAAATCGATGAACGTGCAGGCGCTGGGTAGATTGTTTACATCGCAGGATCGCGAGAGGTGGTGGCGGCGGTGGCTTGGGGGGTCCTTCATCCAGCAGTGGATCGACCACGGCTGATAATGGTGATGATGAATAGACAGAGTTGACCCGAAGGTGAATCGATGCCTCCCCCTACTGCTCCGAGACGGACTCGCATCTGTCGAGAGTTGAGCATTCACGATGCGAGAGTAGTGTACCATCATCACCAGCAGCAGCCACGGGCAATCCACTGCTGGATGAAGGCCTCCCCTAAATCAGGGTGGAAGGGGGGGGCTGGATCGGGGGGGGGGGTAGAAGGATGATGACGATGAGAGGTGTTGCATCGCAATCGTGCGCAATGGTCACGCACTGAATACAAATTCGCGATTATCAACCTGGCTGCCCCTTCGTATGTACGTGTGTATGTTGAACTTCTTTCGCACCGTACGTAGTCAACCACGCTAACCGGAAGTGCGGGGGGAGGACAACAAACTAAACACAACAACAACAAGCAGTTCGCAACAAATACGTTTCTCAATCTAGATGATGTAAAAGCGCCATAGCTCCAGCGGTTTCCTAATATCGGAAGGGAAGAGCGCGTTCCAGACGGCCGCAGAAGCAGCGTCATCTGTAAGCACCGCGCGATGATGCGGTGACCGCCGTCTTTGCTCGATGGTCAGCCAATAGCTGCTGCTCCTGCGAGTCTGACCAGAGGGACTAACTTCAGCACACCGGTGTGTTGGAGAGTAACGAATTGGCACGTTTTGTTTATGTGACAACCCTTACTAATTGGCTATGTCTGGTGGTGGTGGTGGGTAACGTTGGTCGCGAACGCCTTCGTAGGTGTCACACTAGCGAGAGAGCATGCAAGCTCGTAGGGAGGTTGTCTATGTTGACTGGTAAGGCACGTGGTGGTGGTGGGGGGGGGGGGTGGTGGTTGTGGTGGGGATGGTGGGGGGGGTGGTGGGGGGGATGCTGGTTGTGGGGGGGGGTGGTAGGGGTGGTAGGGGGTGGTGGTAGGGGGTAGTGGTGATAGGGGTGGTAGGGGGTGGTGGTGGGGATGGAAGGGGTGGTGGGGGGGTGGTGGTAGTGGTGGGGATGGTAGGGGTGGTGTGGGGGGGTGGTGGTGGTGGTGGGGGTGGTAGGGGAGTGGTGGTGGTGGGGGTGGTAGGGGGTGGTGGTGGTAGGGGTGGTAGGGGGTGGTGGTGGTGGTGGTGGTGGGGGGCTTGGGCAGGACGCGTCCTGGCTAGAAGGAACGACTACAGCCGATTGGTCGAGACAAACGAGGGAGCGGCAGCTTAAGGGATGGAAGGCGCCTGGCGGGGGCGCCCCATCGCGTGGAGATTGGAGTCCGGAGATCGGCGGGTGCGAGGAGCAGGGCTGGGATATAAACTACACTAATCTATTTATATATTTTAAAAATTCCAGGAAAGGCCCACTGAGATATACAGCTATTTTTGCTGAAGCCACTTGGATATCACAAATGATAGCTCAACGAAGTGGCTTATCATCCTCATCGTCGTTTGGACATTGATAGCAGCAGCCAAATGCTAATAAACGCGTGATGTCCATTCTGAACGTGGAGGGGAAACCGTGGGATCCGGAGTGTAATTCATTCAACCACGAGGAAAGAGAGAGAGAGAAAGAGAGACGCCGCAAACTCCACATTTACAGCAGGCTTCACAGTCGGAATTGAACCAACTACCTCCTGTATGCCAGGCGAGGTAGTTAACATCGCCTAGCCACCGTGGCGCATCAAAACGTGACGAGAAATTGCGCAACGCCTCGCTCCCAAACCGAGAGGAGAATAACCAAAATACATAATCCCGCGCCGCCTGCACGAGTTCGCAAATTTCTGAGCGGTTCTCAACGCCGTCGCTCGATCGCTGGAGGCGAACGAGCGAGCCGGGACACCCCCCCCCCCCCCCCACCAACTTCGTAGGCATACACCGGTTCACTCCCCCCACCGCACCCCACCATGGAGCCACGTGGCGTCACTGTCAAGCTATTAAACTTTTGATTTAAAGCTTTCGTGACTGCAGGGATTCATATTCTTGGTTCTTTCGGTAAAGTCACGTATAGAAGGAAAACAATGAAATAATAAAAATATAAAACAATAAAATTCTCACGACGTTTCGACTGCAACACAAGCAATCGTCATCAGGTGTGAAAACCACAACAAGAAAATTTGAAAAAAGTGGCGGTTATTTTAACGTTAGCACCACGGAGAGCGATTTTACAGTTTGTTCAGATGGACGAGTCCATTATTTTTCGTCTCCCCCCTCCTCTTTTCCGAACATAGATGGACTCGTCCATCTGAACAAACTGTCAAATCGCTCTCCGTGGTGCTAACGTAAAAAAAACGCCACTTTTTTTTTCAAATTTTCTTGTTGTGGTTTTCACACCTGATGACGATTGCTTGTGTTGCGGTCGAAACGTCGTGATAATTTTATTGTTTTATATTTTTATTATTTTATTTTTTCCCTTCTACGTGACTTTACCGAAAGAATCAATACTATTAAAACTTTGTTTTTTTTATTTGACCAGATAAGGCCCGCTGAGCTCAATATAGCTCTGTTTTCAGGAGCTACCAGGCCACGAATGCTTAGCTCAACAAAGTGGCTTATCGCGTGCAAATGTATAGCAGCCAAATACTTTAAACGGGTGACGTTTATTCTAAATGTGGTGGGAAAAACCGGAGGACCCGGAGAAAACTCCACGCGACCACGGGGTGAGAGAGACACCGCATACTCCAAATATACAGCAGCAGCAGGCGTCAGGGTCAGGATCGAACCCACGACCTCCTGTACACCAGGCGAGGTAGTTAACATCTCCTAGCCACCGTGATGGTGATGAGAGAGAGACACGCAAACTCCAAATATACAGCAGCAGCAGCGTTCAGGGTCGGGATCGAACCCACGACCTCCTGTATACCAGGCGAGGTAGTTAACATCTCTTAGCCACCGTGATGGTGATGAGAGAGAGACACCGCAAACTCCAAATATACAGCAGCAGCAGCAGCAGGCGTCAGGGTCGGGATCGAACCCACGACCTCCTGTACACCAGGCGAGGTAGTTAACATCTCCTGGCCACCGTGGAACATTATGTGTGCCGGCGTCTCAGCCAACATCCCCAGCTCTCGGGTCACGCGCCGTGCCGTGAGTAAACCTGTGACACGTTAAGTGTCCCCGGCACGGTAACCACGGAGACCGGCGTGACAGGTGACATCATGAATCTCACTTGGATCGCACGTGGGTTCAATAAAGAACATTGAGATTAATCGAGACGGACAGGGCTGCAGCAGCTGGGAAAATCAGCGGGGGTGAGCAGGTGGTGTGGTGTGTCAGGGTGTGGTGTGTCAGTGACTCAGGGTGTGGTGTGTCAGGGTGTGGTGTGTCAGTGACTCAGGGTGTGGTGTGTCAGGGTGTGGTGTGTCAGGGTGTGGTGTGTCAGGGTGTGGTGTGTCAGTGTGTGGTGTGTCAGTGTGTGGTGTGTCAGTGTGTGGTGTGTAAGGGTGTGGTGTGTCAGGGTGTGGTGTATCAGGGTGTGGTGTGTCAGTGACTCAGGGTGTGGTGTGTCAGGGTGTGGTGTGTCAGGGTGTGGTGTGTCAGGGTGTGGTGTGTCAGGGTGTGGTGTGTCAGTGTGTGGTGTGTCAGTGTGTGGTGTGTCAGTGACTCAGGGTGTGGTGTATCAGGGTGTGGTGTGTCAGGGTGTGGTGTGTCAGTGTATGGTGTGTCAGTGACTCAGGGTAGGGTGTGTCAGGGTGTGGTGTGTCAGGGTGTGGTGTGTCAGGGTGTGGTGTATCAGGGTGTGGTGTGTCAGGGTGTGGTGTGTCAGGGTGTGGTGTGTCAGGGTGTGGTGTGTCAGGGTGCTCACGCGCTGCAGTAAGGCTTCTTGTCGTATCCCTTGTAGTTTTTCATTTGCAGGGTCATCTTGCAGACCTCGCAGTGGAAACACGCTTTGTGCCACACCTGTCGAGACACGCACACCCCATCACACTCAACCACACTCAACCACACCACCACACACACTCACCCACACCACACTCAACCACACTCCACACCACCACACACACTCACCCACACCACACTCAACCACACTCCACACCACCACACACACTCACCCACACCACAATCAACCACACCCAACACCATCACACACACTCACCCACACCACACTCAACCACACCCCACACCACCACACACACTCACCCACACCACACTCACCCACACCACACTCAAACACACCCCACACCACCACACACACTCACCCACACCACACTCAACCACACCTCACACCACCCGACCTAACCCCACAAACATCCATCATGAATCAGTTCCGCCGGCTTTGTGGCGCAGTGCTTTAGACACTGCGCGTCTGGGGGGAGTCGATACATCATTGGTGTGACATCCCAACAGCAGAGACCCCCCCTGGTGTGACATCCCAACAGCAGAGACCCCCCCCCCTGGTGTGACATCCCAACAGCAGAGACCCCCCCTGGTGTGACATCCCAACAGCAGAGACCCCCCCCTGGTGTGACATCCCAACAGCAGAGACCCCCCCCCTGGTGTGACATCCCAACAGCAGAGACCCCCCCTGGTGTGACATCCCAACAGCAGAGACCCCCCTGGTGTGACATCTCAACAGCAAGGGACCCCCCCTGGTGTGACATCTCAACAGCAGAGACCCCCCCTGGTGTGACATCCCAACAGCAGAGACCCCCCCCCCCCCTGGTGTGACATCCCAACAGCAAGGGACCCCCCCTGGTGTGACATCCCAACAGTAAGGGACCCCCCCCTGGTGTGACATCCCAACAGTAAGGGACCCCCCCCTGGTGTGACATCCCAACAGCAGAGACCCCCCCCTGGTGTGACATCCCAACAGCAGAGACCCCCCCTGGTGTGACATCCCAACAGTAAGGAACCCCCCCCCCCTCTCAACAAATTCTCCCGAGTTTCGGTGAGGCCTCGAAGGCGATTGTAGGAGCAGGGCAGTCCGAATGGATGTTTTAACTCAAGAGTTAATCAGGCGTAAGGGGCCGTCCATAAATGACGTCACGCACCTGGGGGGGGTAAGACATTTGTGACGATGTGTGACGAGGGGGGGGGGTGAGAAATGTGACGTCACATCAAAATGCGCAACTTTAAATAAATATAGACAACACGTTCTACTTAATGAAATATAATTTTTAACAAATGTTTTCTCCTACAACATCAGAGTGCAGCGCCACATTAAATACGCACTACGATGACAATAGTTTAAAGCGATTTGAAGCATGTTTTATTTTCAAAATGGAAACATGGTTTAGGGGGAGGGGGGGGGGGGCAAAGCTTTGTGACGTCATATTTGAGGCGGGGTCTGACTTTTTGTGACGCCGTGTGACGAGGGGGTGTGGGGGGGTCAAAAATCGTCCAAAACCGCGTGACGTCATTTATGGACGGCCCCAAATCAGCCCGGGCAATGATGACCGCGGGCGCCGGGTGTCCACGTGGAGCCGCCACGTGCCGAGTACGCGTTTGTGTTGTCTGGCACCGTGGTGAGAGCGGTGATTGTGTACCGCACTGTACGTGTACGTGATTGTGTACCGCACTGTACGTGTACGTGATTGTGTACCGCACTGTACGTGTAGGTGATTGTGTACCGCACTGTACGTGTACGTGATTGTGTACCGCACTGTACGTGTAGGTGATTGTGTACCGCACTGTACGTGTAGGTGATTGTGTACCGCACTGTACGTGTACGTGATTGTGTACCGCACTGTACGTGTAGGTGATTGTGTACCGCACTGTACGTGTAGGTGATTGCGTACCGCACTGTACGTGTAGGTGATTGTGTACCGCACTGTACGTGTAGGCAGCGGTAGCGTCGTGGTCAGCGCTACCTCGCCACGAACACGGCCACTCGAGTTCGATTCCCGCTCGCGACCAATAGCTGGCATCCCCTAGGTAGACTCAGCCTGCAATGAGTACTGGTACCTGGCGTGGTGTGTAAACATCAGCACTGGGGAGACAAAGGCGGCCGGGCGCTATGCTGACAACCCAACTCGTGCGCCGTGCCGGCCTTAATAGGTGCTCGCTAACAACACTTGCCCCAACAGTATGTTAAAGGCTATGCGGGGGATCTTTGTCCTTGTCACATTACTGTAATTAAAACAGGTTAACAAATCGTAGTTAATGGTGGAAATTCCACATTCTTCTACCAGGAAACGGTGGTTCATGGGTGGCTCATTTGGGAGCCGGGCTCCACAATCTTGAACCTGTAATCTCTGCCTGGGGTCAACTGAGGATTCAGCCGCATCGCCACTAACTTCCTTAACCACCACTAACTACCGCCTCCACCACAGCCATCATAGCCATCACCATCTCCAGCATCATCATCATCGTCACCACCACAATCACCGCAAAACCTCATCAAAGACAACGATCTCCCGTACAGCCTGTAACACACTGGTAGGGCAAGTGCTGTTAGCGAGCACCTATGAAGGCCGGCACAACACACCACACCCGGCCGCCTTTGTCTCCCTAGTTGCAAACGTTTACAAATCGCACCAGGCACTCGTTTTGAGGCTGAGTCGACCTAGGGGATACCCAGGACCGGTTCAGATAATCGTCACTGGTGTTGGCCGTGAGCGGGAATCGAACTCGGGTGACCAGGTTCGTAGCGCAGCGCGCTGACCGCTACACTATCGCTCCCCATCATCATCTCTACCACCACCTACACCACCACCAACAACACCACCAACAACACCACCACCCACAACACCACCAACAACAACACCACCACCAACACCACCAACAACAACACCACCAACACCACCACCACCAACAACAACACCACCAACAACACCACTACCACCCACAACACCAACAACAACACCACCACCAACAACAACACCACCAACACCACCACCAACAACACCACTACCACCAACAACACCACCACCCACAACACCACCAACAACAACACCACCCACAACACCACCAACAACAACACCACCAACACCACCACCAACACCACCACCAACAACAACACCACCACCAACAACACCCGCCTGTCGCCACTGACTGGCGGTGACTTTAAAGACCACAGTGCACTCTGGGCCACGTGTAAGTGCTGAAAGCTCGGCTAGAAGGTCATGGGACAATCCCCCCCAGGGTGTTGTGGGCCAACTGACCGAGATGACTCATGATTCACACGTAGAGATACACGAAGAAAAACACACGAACCAAAGACAAAGTTCACCCGTGTAGCCTGACAGACTGTGGGTGCAAGTGCTGTGAGCGAGCGCTTATAAAGGCCGGCACTGCACACGAGGGGTTGGGGATTGCCAACACCACGCCCAGCCGCCTTTGTCTCCCCAGTGGCGATGTTTACACACCGCACGAGGTACTCATTTGAGGCTGAGACCGGTTCAGATAATCGTCACTGATGTTGGCCGTGAGCGGGAATCGAACTCGTGTCGCCAGGTTCATAGCGCAGCGCTCTAATCGCTACACTACCGCTCCCCACCACAACAACAACCGCCATTCGCCACTAAGTGGCGGTGACGTCACCACGACGCTTGTGCCAGGCCATGTGCACCTTGAGGCCACTTGAAGTGTCGAACGCCCGCTGGCAGGAGGTCACGGGGCAGACCCAGGTGCCACGGGTCGACTGACTGAGATGACTGAGATGACTGGCTGATGCACCACCTGTGCCCCCTACTGTGCCAACCTGCTGTGCTTTAGCCACCCGGCGCTCCGCTCGTTGTTGTGAGCGTTGTTGGAGGGCGACTACCTCCAACTGCCCAGTAGCGTCCTTCACGAGCCTCCTCCACAGAGGCCGATCTTGACACCACTGGTACCAGTCATCAGCAAGTCCACTCAGCTCCACGTCCTCCTGTACCACATCACTCCATCTCTTCTCTAGCCCGTGCAGCGCCCGTTTAGCCCTCTTCGATCCGGCCGAACAAAAGCTGTTTCGGCATGCGGTGGCTGGGCATGCGGGCTACATGACCCAGCCAACGCAGCCTTGCCCGCCGGAGGAGCTCACCGATGGGACCTTGCCCAGATCTTTCAAGGATTTGTGAGCTCCTCACACAATCCAGTCTGGTTAAACCCAGGATGGATCGTAGGCAGGCCAGCCTAAATGTTTCTAACCGGCAAAGATGTTAAACACACACACACACAATAGCACATACACACGTAAATACAAAAATAGCCGCACACCTATATTTCACGCCGACTATTTTTTATTTATTTTAAATTCTCACCAAATATTTTACTGACAGACTGAAGTCAGAGATAGAGAGGTGTGTGTGTGCATACTGGATGTGGAGTTCCGGGTGCGAAAATATTTCCCGAACCGCTGATCCGGAGACAGACAACAGCTTAAATTAATCAGTCACTTCTGTGTGAGATAGAGTGCTTCCCCCTCGCACGCACTCGGTTTTTCTCCGGCACTGCGGTTTCTTTCCACGTGTATAACAAACACTCAGTAATTGCCTGAAAACATCTTAATATACAGAGAACTGCAGAGCAATCCTTGGGTCCTGCTCACTGCCTGACAGCCGTCCGGATTGGTCTGTGGAACCTCGGCGATTGTGAGATGCAATTTGCCCAAACGACTCGAGATAAAATGAATAATCAAAGAATGTTGTTAAATCAATGAAGTCCTGGCAATAATAATATAGCGTTAATAATAATGTAGTGTTAATAGTGATAGTGTTAATAATAATATCGTGATTATAATAACATATTGTAAAAAAAAATGTTAATAATATAGTGTAAATAATAATATAGTGTTTAAAATAATATAGTGATAATAATATAGTGTTAATAATACTATAGTGTTCATAATAATATAGTGTTCATAGTAATAATAATATAGTGTTAATAATATAGTGTTAATAAGTGTTCTATCTGACCCGGATGCTACCGATGATTAGTGAATCACTTACTATACAGTACTGTACTTTATTAAACATTTATGT